GGGAGGGCGCGGGCCGGGGCTTGGGTGGGGAGGTGCGCGGGATCTTGATCGTCGGTGAGGGCTGGGGAGGCTCGAGGACCCATTCTGAGTCTTTGGAGTCGGATGTCGTTGGCGATGAGGGCTCGAGGAGCGACGGGTCGCCGTTCTGGAGTGCCTCGAAGGCGGCGATGCGCGCTTGGAGCGCCGAGGGGGCCATCAGTGCAGGAGCAGAGTCGTTATAGCGTGATTCGGGATCGCCTCGGTGTGAACTTGTTGGCCTTGCTTCTTGCTCTCATCTCCCGTCCCATCGATTGATCGACCATGCTTTATCATCGGACCACGAGCATTATAGGATACTGCATGACGGGAGGAATACTCCGCTGGAGAAATGTGTGGTCTATGGGATATTTCAACTGGCCCATGTTAATATACGCCGCGTTAATTGACGCTACATTCGTCTTCTTACCTGTAATATTGGGAAGGCCCTGGCCTCCCGGAAGGGACTTGTTGTGAGCTGAGGATACACGGGATGAGTGGTCTCATCGGTAGCAACTAGAGGGATGCTGTCCCGCTCAGACCAGAATCAGTCCTAGACATCTCTCCAGTCGCGCTTATAACTCTCAACCTCGCGTTTCGTGTCTCCTCGCTCACTCGACGACGCCACTTCCCTCTCTACTCACTTCTTCCGGCTGGTCCGTTCCCTGTTATCACCATGGATACTTTCTCTCGCACTCCCAGCCGCCTCGGTCGGCTCAAGGCTCAGATGAAGAGTACGTCCTGCGCGTTTCATCTCACGTACACCTCGTTTACCAGCTTCCTAGCCGTTCTATCCCGCACATCCTCCTCATCCGGCACCAGACCCTCCCGTCTTCTTCCTGCCAAGCGCCACACAACGCCCTCAGACCGCACCCGCGTCCCACCCCGCCACGCCCGCACCCAGAGCGAAGTCGACCCGCACACCTACTACAACACAACGAGCACCGACCTCGACCCCTATTCATCCGTACATCTTCACCCATCCTTACACCACCGCTCCTCCGCACATCATCGCTCCTCCGTACGCCCACCTCGACATCGCTCGGCAGAACATTATACGGGCCCCAGTCCGATAACGCCGGACGCGTATGCGCTGTTGGAGGACTACTTCCCGCCTCAGCGCCAACCTCAGTCTGCGCCTGTGAGGCCGACGTCTGCTTCTAGATGGCCGGATTCGGCTGGGGGCTCAAGATATGCGTCTTCGAGGCCTGCGTCTGATCAGCCCGCGCTTTCTGCGTTCGCGCGGTCTACGCCGTCAAAGCGCATTCGACCTGCGCCTACCGCACGCGCCCGATCAGAGTACGCGCGCCCTCCCACCAGCCACCCCCAGAACAACCCCTCGCACGCCCCGTCTATACCGACGAACAAAACCGAACTCGCAGCAGTTCTGTCGGACCCGTACTACCAACACGCCGGCGTGCGTCCGCCCTCGCGGCCCAATGGTGCACGCGCGATGCCGAATGCGGCTGTTGTGCCTGTTTATGTGAATGTGTATGGGACGGGGCGGAGGACGAAGAGGGGGTGGTTGGGCGGCGGGAGGAGGAAGTAGGAAGTAGGAAGTAGGAAGTAGGAAGTAGGAAGTAAGAGATCCTTGGCGTGCGCGGTCGATGGTGCGGTAGCGCGTATGTCGCTCTCGGAAATCTTGAAACGGAAATGGTATATGGACCTATAGAGCTCAAAGAACTACAAGATCGGACCAAAGAAGCGTGCATAGACGCGAGGCTACTGAGAACACACACACACAATGCGCAATTATCGTACAGGGAATATGATCAGACAGTGCAAAGCAGAACCGAGTCTCAAGAATGGTAGCGGGGTAGAGCAGCAAACTTATGATCAGTCAGAATCAGACGGGATACAGATAGGGCTCATCCTCTCCGGCTTTATCGAGCCAGATGGGCGAGGTCGAGGGCCAGGGTGTGCATGGCCGCCTGTCGCAGGTCGCTGAGTGTTCTTTGCCAAACTAATAGGCTGTATGTCCGATCGAGATGCCGCGCGCCCTGGGATATCAGTTAGAGACGAAAGAACAATGGAAGGAGGGGACTCACGGAGGGGCCGAGTTAGTACCAAATCCTGTATTGTCGCGTCTCGCAAGGACTCCTTGGCAGGCTTGCGCTGAGATGTGAGCGGTAAAAGCTCGTCCGACGGCTTACGGTTGTCGGCACGTCTTTTGAATCTGAGATTCTCGAGAGCCGCCAGTCGTTGGGTCTTAGTAGAAGATGGGAAAGGTTTAGCCCTGTGGAAAGTAAATTCCTTTCCTGGTGCTTTTGCAGCTGCAGAGCGGCGATGTTTGTCAGTGAGCGTTGGAAGATGATATTGACGGTAAGGCTTACGCAATGGATGGATACGCTTCCGAGCGAGGTGTCCCTCAAATTCTGCGGCAATTATGTCTGTCGCCTCGGGAGTGGCTGGGCGGGAAGAGTCGCCGTCGCTCAGATTCACAAACCTATAGTGGTGTAGCCATTCTACGTACCGTCACGAGATGGTGCCTGCGTTGGCTTATTCGCGGGCTTTACCGCGGCGGTGCGCGTGGTAGAGGCAGAAGCAACAGCTTCAAAGACTTCAGAAATCTATATCTCGCAATCACTGCACCAAACGTACTGGGTATGGGACCGTTACCGGCCGGTTCTTGAGGCACCTGAGGTTTCTTCGCTGCAGTATCTGGCAATCAAGCATCTGAAACCGCACACAAAACAGAGCAAATGATGTACGTACTGTCGGCATTTTGCTTCAACTCGTCCACTTCAAACGTCCCAAGCTCTTTGACCAACTCCGGCCACAGTTCTTTACTAATCTCGACCTTCTCGCCGTCGAGCCCAGGTACCGTCGAAGACTTGAGTACCATGCGCGACACATCATCAGGTGTTCCAATCTTCTCCGCAGCGAGTTTCAACATGGACTTCGCGACCGTATCAGTACGTAGCAGCGAGCATCTCACAACGAAATAACGCGCCTCATAGTTCTCAAGACGCGGTACGAGGATCTTGCGCTCGGTCGGCGCATGAATGAATACGAGAGGCGTCTTGGTGTATGGCTGGTTGGTAGAGCCTCTGTTCTCCGGTTGGCCGGGATTTTTGGAATCTTTAGGCATGTTGGTCGTGGTGGGAGGCAAGAAGGTAACGACGCGCCTGACAACGCTCAAGCGTGTACACAATCAACAACGCGTGACGTCACGCGAACATGTTCGGCCCCAGCGGCGCAAATCGCGGCTCCCTCACTCGGAATCAACTACCATTCGACCATATTTAGCCATGAAGAGGTTCCGCACAAATTGAGCGCCCTGAAGCAGTCTGAAATGCCGGTGCGATACCCTTGTCATTGACAACCACCATCTCTCTGCTCTCTACAAATGCCGCGAGAGACGCGCGCGAGGCGTCAGCGACCTCTGCAGGTGTTCTTCGGCGGTAGAATATTCGCAGTCCCACGCGTAGATCGGTATCAAGTACGAGGGAATGTTGCTCATAGTCGGGATGGAAGGCTGACAAATCTTTAGACAGTCGTCGAGTCCATACAGTTCACATGCAGGGCTCTCAGCAACATTGACTTGAATCGCGTCACTCTGCAATCTGAAGCAATTCCCGACTGCGAGGGTGTCGAGGCGGTCATCTCGCCACTTCTCTGGTCTGAAGTGGCGGAAGATGTAGGATTGGTGAAGGTCGTTCTTGAAGAAGAAGGAGAAGAAGGCGCTGAATCCGTGGCTACGAATGAGGGTGGGAATAGCGACGTCGGGGGCTCGGAGGATGAGGCAGGTACGCACTTCCGGCTCTCTTCCATGATGTCGATGCTAACTGACTCGTAAGCTCCGCTGGCTTCTACGCATACTGGATGCAGCAATTCTCCTGGACAGATACGACTTAACGTGGCGACGCGTACTGGCAAGAGAATCCCGATCGAGGCGTACCCGAACATGTTCGTTCAGACCGTGATAGCCATGATAGCTCTCGTTGAGATGGGCTCGGTGTCCTTTATGGACCAGATAAAGCTGTGTACCAGGGAAGGACGCTCATTGCCAGAAACTGATACGCTAGAGGACCACGCGATCGGAGACGGGACTACCATCTACTTGGTTCTCCAGCTGCGGGGCGGGAAGCCCGTCATCTACCTTAATCCTCCCGCTAGATCTTCCAACGTGCATGCTTCCGTGGACCTCAATTTGCACAAGTCCTGGTATCTGTCAGCGATATGGCCTGTGCCATTATCTTCTCGGCGGGAAGGTACATCGTATGGACGACGCGTTCTCTGGAACGTCTCTGCTTCTCCCGACGGAACCCTCGTCGACAAGGACTCGGGTATGAATGTTTCGTACCTCTACTGGGAGGCATTGTATGTGTACATGTCATCCATGTTCATTCACGTACTTAAGCTTGTACAGGACGGACACTGCAAACCTACTCTCCCCACCACCATCTCCACGCCGGTCCACCGATTCTGTAGCAGTCATATCAGACGTCTCTACTTTCGATCCCGCCTGCCCATTCATAGGCCCGGACGACTCTGTACTGCTTCCATGCAACAAGATAGGAGCCTATCTCGACAACGCTCTGACTGGCCTTGGGCTTCATACCGAAGCGCGCACATCCTTTATCACGTTCGTCCGATCTCTCTTACTCTCATGATTGTTCGTCGATTGACAAAGCATCAATCCAGGTACTGGCTCCCGAGCATCTTGAAGCACTCTTACGTAGCTTTGCGCTTCCTTCCGCAAGAAGAGTACGAACAAGCCGCCGAGTTGACCGTCAAACCCACACCGGACGTCGTCACCCGCGTCTTTATGCTATTTCGCGGAGTGAAGGAAAGCCAACTCGCAGACTGGGAGCTTGCGCGTGCACGCGCTTCTGAGGACGCTGCGTTTTGGCGCGATGTTGTGGGAGTGGACTTGAGCGCTGCGCTTGACGACACGCTGTTCCGTGTTCTGGAGTGGGGCGGCATGGAGGTCTTAGGATGAGCGCTTCAAAGTCGTCACAAAATTGGTCATACTGGTAGAAGGATACAATCACGCGAGCATTGTTTGACCGAGACACACAGCAACACTGAAGTACAAGAGCTATATCAGGGCTCAGGCTTCACACAATCCCCTTCGCTGATACCCCACCTCGTGAGGAAGGCTTCGTACTTGACGATGAAGTTGCCCGGTGCTTCTCGGACTCCCATACCATATCCCGCCTTTCCGAAACCTAAGACGATTCAGAAGTTGCGTGTGACAACGAAAGCTAAGGCATACCGGTATACGATTCGGGTACTCTTTGTACGTCGAACGTCCTGAGTTGGTCCACTACCTCCGGCCACAGCTCCTTGCTAATTTCGGCCTTCTCGCCCTCAAACCCCGGAACGGTCGTCGACGTAAGGGTGAGGTGCTCCACAGCGACATATCGGAGAGCGCGTATCTTGTTTTTGGATATCTTAACCATGGCCTAGTGCGGGTCTGAGAACGCGCAACCGCTGGGAAAAGCCATAATACCCACCTCATAGTTTGCCAGTCGCGGCACGAGGATCTTGCGCGAGTTGTGCCGCAGCATTAGTGGTGTCTTCGTATGCGGTTCGTGCGGGAGTTGCTCGGTATTGACCACCGTCGCGTCTGTGCTAGTCTTGGGCATGGCTCTACGTCGTGGCGGGAGGCAAATGACGGGATAGACGCCGTCTGGTGCGGCAAGACACCCATCCTGTCAATGAATGCGTGATGTCACGTGTCCATATCGCGCCTGTCACTTTGGCGCTCATAATTAGTCAACATACTCAACCGTCGCAGATACGCACCCCCGAGCTTTTGATTTCGCGGAGTCATCCTATGCGTTACTAGTAGGCCACTCTTAGGACGATGCATAGTCACCACAACGTGAGTGCTGAAGCTGAAAGGCAACCGCAAACAACCTCCATCATCCATCCAGCCTCCTATACACCCTGATCCAGGCAGAAGTGCCACTTCTCATATCGCATCTGTCATATTTTACAAGCTACTACTCCAAGAGAATGAGTCAGATATATAAGCAAGCTATGAGCAATATGTGAGTATGTAGAGCGGGATAGTATGATCCGCGAAGTTATGTAGATATCCAGGATTCGAAAGAACGTGGCGAGCCAGACGGCGAGACATTGATAGACTGTACGATTGACACCATGCGCTTCAGCCATCGTACGTGCTCAAGCAGTGGATGCGGAGGTAGTAGTAGCTCGGCGGGGACTCTGGGAGATGGAGGAATGAGGCAAGCACGCGACTATCATCCTCAGGTGCGTCCTTCCACCAGTCATTGCCTAGACTGTCGTTGAACGTGAGGGTGAGGGGCGACTTGAACGAGTTCCCTAGTACCTCGTTATACGTGGTGGATGCGCCATTCTTCCTGGTGTTTGAGGTCCCGACAAGGACGAGCTTCGCTTTCAGCTCTCCCAATGTCATTCGCCCATTGATCTCGGCCTCGAAAGCCTCTTGCCAGTCCAGACTAAAGCTTTGTGTTCGGGCGTAGCCAAACACAGCAATCTTGACGGTAACATTGCGATGAGAGGGCAATGTTCTAGGCCGGATTATAGGCTTGAACCGCTCATCGCATGTAATGTGGGTACTTTTCAACGACAAGTCTTTAGCGGAGCCCGCATGTATCGCTACCATCTTATCAAAGGGAAGCGTCGCGACTTCTGGGAGTGCGTATGTAATTCGACCAGTATCTGAGGGAGAGTAAGTGTGATTCCTTCGCAATAGCTCTATCACGCACTCTCGGTTGCTTTGTGCGTGGGTTTGTGGGGACGAGATGGTCCGGATGCCTTGCAGGGCCGAGCAGCGGTGCCAATATTCTTGCCATCACCAACGACAACTGTCCTTCAGTTTCAGTAGAGATTCCTCTGGCAAAAGTGGATACAACACACGGATAATGTCACCCTCAACCTCGAATGTCTTCAGGCGCGGGACCAAACCTTCCCACGACTCCTCACCTATCTCGACCTTCTCCCCCTCAAGACCAGGTACTGACGTTGACTTGCAGACGAGGTCTTCTATACCACAATCACTGATATCTGGTATCTTCTTCTTGACCAACGTGAGCATTGCCTGAGAGTGCCGGGTCAGCGCGCGATGAGGGAAGGTGCCACAAGGAGACACGCCTTGTAGTCTGTCAGGCGTGGCATGACGATCTTGCGGTCACCGTCGAGGAGTAGTAGTGGAGCAAGCTGATACGGCTGTGCCGCAGTATGCGCGGAGCTACCATCGGCTTTAGGCATTGATGGTCTTTCGTAGTGGACGTTAGCGGTGAGTGGCACGACTCGCGACTCGCGTCGTGCACGAGGCGACTTCAACTTGGTCATCAATGTGACGTCACGCGTGCACACACAGCAAAACTCCCGAAGTATAGCAGCTACACTCGCTCGCAGCGACACTAACCGATCATAAAGGAGGCTCGAAAGATACATTCAAGGAGAGCTTGTAGTTGAGAGATCCTGCTTGACTACCCGAGTCCCACTTCGCTTCTTCTTCGCCACCTCCTTCAAATCATCGACAATCCCTAGCTGAGGATTCCTCGTCGCCCATAGCTGGACCGCTCGCTCAAGATACCCGCGCGAGCACGTCGTATTGTTCTCCGTACAGCTTGCGCACTTCCGCCCCGTTCCGCCCGAGCTTCGCCCGATCTTTTGGCAAGGCAGTACGCGTTTCTGACAGGCATGGCATTTCGCCGTGTAGAAGGCGCCATTAGGGACCTATGGGAGGTTCGAATCTCAGTTGTTGCAAAAGGCAAAGAATATACGTACCTGCATGTCTAGACAGTCGGACATCTTCTGCTTGCCCTTGAAGACTTCATGAGCGACGAAGTTAGGCGGCGCTTTACAAGTCTTGAGGTCGTCTCTCGTGAACACGTAAACAGCGCCGGAGACGGGAACTTTGGACGCGGAAGGTACAGACAGTACATGACGACTCTGTGTGGTGGTGTGCGGAGACGGCTTCACATCGACGAGTGTACTGAGCGGTATGTCTGGTTCTGGATCATCGTACCCTCCCCAATCCTCCTCGTCGTCCGAGTCAAGCACAACGATGGGCGAGGGTAGAGTAGCTATTGCCGGATGTGTTGCAGAGCTCTGAGTAGAGGTACGAGAACCTTGAAGAGACTCAGCAGAGAATTGATGACAGCGTCGGGCGATATACCGGGAGTGGATTTGCTGCCGCTCACAATAGGCGCGCGCTTCTCCGCAACGACAGGTGGGGATAGGGACGTTTGGCCAAACCCTAGCACCGAGGGTGCTGCGAAGGACCTTGGCTCGACTTCGTCGACACCTGCAGAATATGAGTCCATAGTCGTAGCCGCAAGTACACAGACGCACTGGCATCGACAGCGCGTATCTTGGGCGGTTCGGAATTTCTTGGGCGTGATGGTCCAGCGGCGGGTTGTGAGGGGGCGAGGGTCTTTGGTTTGGAGGCAGAGGCATGGACCGCGGTGGAGGTTGCAGTTTTGGGCCGTTTCTTGGAGGATGATGAGGCAGCGGCGGGGGTTGAGAACGTTGAGATGGCGGTAGAGGATCGTGGGACGTTAGCAGGCGGCGCGGCGTCGGATGAAAAGACAGCGCCGTTTTGATATTTGGCCTTCCCCACAGTATCTGTACCATTCATCAGTCACGAACTAGGTGAGGACATGTCTCGTCCTCACCAGAGCGCACTCGCTTAGTGGCCTCAACCTCGATGGACTTGACATGCGCGGCAATATCCGGCCAAGCCTCCTCGCTAATCTCCACCTTCTCCCCTTCAAGACCAGGAACTGAAGTCGACTTTAGCACGACGCTCTTGGAAGACGCATTCGCAAGTCCGTCCAACTTCCGTTTCACCAACATGATCATGTCCTATTCGCGCTCTCATGAGCCCCTGCGCAACTGAGGCACGGCAGTCGCAGCGGCACGCGCCTGGTAACTCTCCAGGCGGGGGATAACGATCTTTCGGTCGGCCGCGGGATCGAGGAGTAGAAGCGGTAGCTTCGCATATGGTTCAGCCGTCTTGAGTGGCGGAGTGATGTCCTCGATCTTGGGCATGACTGATGGTGGTGGTGGTGGTGGCCGTCCAACACGTGTCGGGTGTGGGATACGGGTTTGCTGTTGGCACGCCTCCAGCGCTACTTGAGAGGGAGTGGCTCGCGCCGCCCTTGTGCCCAACTTGTACCCTCC